TAGGTGACCTTTAATGTCGAGATCCCAGAGGAATTAATTTTTTTTTTAAATTAAATCCCCTTTTAAAAGGTGTTGCTTGTGGTGCTATTACAGCTCTCATAGGACAAATGAGTAGTTTGTGTTGGGTATGAGGAATTACATCTTCGATATTCGTTTTACACTGAGCGGCTATTTGTCTGAATACAAAAATATTGTCATATTTTATCCGCCCATAGCTCCAACCGTTTACCATGGTCATTAGTGTCTTTGTATCCCCATGTAGTACTTTGTCTTAAAATCGCTAAGGATATAGTTCGTGTTATGGTGGTTAAAATTGTCAGATTCATTCAAAGTGGAATCTGCACAGAACTCAATATCTAAATAGGCCTAACTCTAATGTCTAACATTAAACATAAAACATCAATATTGGTGGGCTAAACAATTAAATAATATATAAATACGGAATTAATATTTTCTTAAAATAGATTCATGGGAATAGCAAAATAGTTATTGCCAAAGTGGAGAAACATAAGCGAAATATGGACAGATAGGATAACCCAAAAGGAGCAAAGTTGTAAATTATTCATGTATTTCATAACTTAAGAAAAACATTATATATTAATAAATAAATCATTAACTACTATGTAAATGCTTTTAATATTACGTGTAATTTTTGTCCATTAATGACTGGGTCATTAAGATACATACCTTTTCGGATTCTTTACAAACACCTTTGCTTGTTCTATAAACGCCGTGACATTTTGTAGAAACCTTTCGATAGAATTCGTTGGGTCGGTCAGTCAATTCTTCGATCGTCGTTTTCGAAATCATTTTAAAAATAACTCCTTAATATCATCTTATAAACGCGAAGCGGAGGCATTTCATGAAAAAACAAACATCCCAATTTATTTTTGTGAATTAGAAGGTATGTTATTGTACTAAAACGTTTGTCTGAGTTCGACTTAAGTTCAATATTGTGTGTGCTCCTATAACTAGATATAAACTGTGGCAGGTAATGTCGGAAATTTTCACCTGTTTTCAATTTTTAAAAAGTTAACGAGCGGTATAAAAATAAGTGTTCCTCGAAAAATTTAATGGGTGCTAATAAAGTTTTCAGAAATAAATGACTAAATATTTTTTCAGCTTCTCGTGTGTAATGTCGAATAAGTGCTTTGAAAAAGGAGCACGTACCTACAATATTATCAAAAGTGAAAAATTAATACAAAATAAATTTTGTATTAGTGTTTTGGGGCTTGTATTTGACTTTTACATATTTTTACAACTATAAATAAACCTTTTCCAATAGTCTCTTCAAAGGGTATCAGCACTCTTATCATTTGAACATATCTTGCACGTACCAAGTTCTTTTAAAAAGGTCACTGTAGAAGATTTATAGGTAGAAACACTATACCTTTACGTGCACTGTACACATTTTTTAAAATAATCTTTTTGTTGTTTTGAAGCTATTTTCTTGTGGCATCCTAAAGCAATTACTATTTTAATTGGGACTAAACTATAATTTAAGATTAAAATAAGTTTTGTGACGTTTCAATTTCCACTTCGGAATCATTAATGTTTTGTATTTTGAGAACGAATTTGTATTTCTGAAGTGGAAATTGCAACGTCAATATACTTATTTTAAACGAAAATTGTGGCTTATTCCCAATTAAAATAGTAATATTTTTGAGAATAAAATAAAACTAAATATTTAGATTCTTAAAACAAATACAACTTCTTCTTCTTCTTCTTCTTCTTCTTCTTCTTCTTCTTCTTCTTCTTCTTCTTCTTATTCTTCTTCTACTGCGGTCTCCACTAATGAAGGTTGTCTATAATCATTGCAAACTCGTCTCTATCTTCTGCTTTTCTTAAGAGTGTCTGTGCGTTTAACCCGGTCCAGTCGCGAATGTTTTTCAGCAAGGATATTTGTCGTCTACAGAACCCCTTTTTCCTTCGATTTTACCCTTCATAATCAGCTGTAACAACTCGTACTTATCATTTCTAAGTATGTGCCCAAAATATGCTGTCTTTCGCCTTTTAATAGTGGTCAAAAGTTCTCTGTCTCTTCCTATTCTGTGCAACACCATTTCGTTCGTAATATGATCGGTCCATGGTATCTTCAAAATTCTCCCAAAAAGTCACATCTCAAAAGCTTCCACTTTTCTCATTAAGTCAACATCAACAGTCCAGGCTTCGACACCATAAAGGAGAATAGAGTGGAATAATACTTAACCATCCGATATCGGATTTGCAGATTGAGTCTTTGGTTACTCAGAAATTTCCTTATTTTCAAAAAGACTGCTTTTGATTGCTCTATTCTTATGCGAATTTCTGATTTAGGATTCAGATCTTCCGTAATCCAGACTCCTAAGTATTTCTTTTTGTCCACTTGTTCAATATCTTCATTTTTTATCTTAATCCTTGTAATGATTTTGCCCCTTTTACTGATAACCATGGTTTTTGTTGTCGTTATGTTTATTGTTAACCCCCCAAAACTGTTCCCCAAAATCACAAATTGTGTTTAGTAACGTCTGCAGGTCTGTCTAACTTTCAACGATAATGACTATCGCCAGCATAACGGATGGTATTTATATTTTCACCATTTATCTTGATCCCTTATGTACAGTTTTCAAGTGCTTACGTAAATAACTTCGGAATATATAATATTAAATAGTAATGGTGAAAGTACACAGCCCTGTCTCACTCCTCTACTTATTTGTTGCGCATCCGTGCTATTTCCATCTAATGTTACCACAGCTTGTTGGTTCCAATAGAGATTTCTCACTATGTTAATGTCATTTTTGTCGAGTCCTTTTCTCTTTAGACATTCCATGAGAATGTTATGTTCAACTTTGTCGAAAGCTTTCTGATAGTCTATAAACGCAACGAAAAGATCTTTTTGTTGGTCTCGACATTTTTGGACCAGAGTTGTGAAACTGTACAGAGCTTCCACTGTTCCGAAGCCGTTATGAAAGCCAAACTATGTATTACTCATATTTGCTTCGCACTTTCTGAATATTTTTGCATGTATAATCTTTAAAAATGTTTTTAATAAGTGTGACATTAAGCTGATTAATCTAAAGTCATTACAGTGTTTGGGGTTTTTGGTTTTTGGTAACGAAACAAAGGTAGATAGAAGTCATTCTGTAGGTATCTCACCAGATTTGTATATGTTGTTAGAGAGATAGTTATTGCACTTAAATTGTCTTCGTCTATAAGTTTAATCAGCTCGATATGAACTTCATCTGGCCCAGGGGCTCTGCCAGATTTTGAGTTGTTTATAGCATGTTGGACTTCAGATTTTAATATTAATGGAGCTTCCTCGTTATCAATTTGTATTGGTTCCGTTCTTGTGTCCACGAAAATATTTTCGATATATTTATTCCATACTTACTTGTTTTATTTCAATTGGGTTATTAATAGGTTTATTGTTTTTGTCAATTAGTCGGTTAGGTGTAGTTGTTCGTGATTTTCCAGATAATTCTTTCACTTTTTTTATGTAAATTATAATGATCATGCTTTTTCTGCAATTCTTCCACTTCGATGCATGTTTCCATAATTCACTTTTCCTTAGACTCTTTTTATTTTGTTAATTTAATTTAATTAATTTATGTTTTTCTCTGTACTAAATACAACTTCAACAATATAAAACAAATAAAAATCCAATTCTAATTTATTTTGATAAGTCTAATGCATATTAAAAAAACAAGCATTCATGTCCATTTTTTAAGTTTTATCACATTATACCACGTATTCACGTATTTTTTACTTTTATCACAAAATTGTATTTACGGGAGAGGGGGTGTATATATACACACACAGACTTAAACATTGAATGTACTTTGGTACAGTGATTTCTTAAGTATTGTTCAACACTAAAGTGTTGATAAGAATATGTAACGGACAAGACATACAATATCATATATTTTCTTAAAAACAATAAATACCATGACAATGTAAAAAGGAACATACGTTTGTCCTTTTTTTGTATATTGATAAAAATTAATCTTCACTACTTTGATATATCTTACATGTGTAACTAATATTCTTCTAGTCATATTCGTTTTAGAATTTTTATATTTTTGGTAATTCTTAATGTAATATGTAAAGTACACAATCTATAATATACAAACTAGAAAAGATGCCACATAAATTGAATTTTAATAACAATTTATACTTTGCCATTATTGTGGGTAATATTTGATGTTTTTAGTTATCTAAACTTCTTACTTTAAAAATAATGATTTTTGTGTTTTTATTTTTCTTTAAATTGAATATTTTTGTACAGTTAAAAGCACTACATATTGTGCACATCTTTAAAAGCTTTTATTAAACACATTTTTATGGAATGTTTTTAATTAATATTTTTATGATTGATATACCATAGCACTTGAAACTTTTGAACCTTTTTCATAAATTAAATATAAAAATTATTTTTTGCATTTAAAAATATTTTGCCTTGTCACTGCTAATGATTTTGTTTGAGAACAACTGCAAAATTTGAGGCTATCAGCGCAAAAGTGGTGTAACCCCAGACTACTCCACATTATGAATATGCTTACAGATGTATCTTCTTTAAATTTACTCATTTAAAAGTGATGAGAATGCTAAAATATGGAACGGATATTTAAAACAGAATCATAGTATTCATTATATTCCGTAATCAATTCTGTACATATACATCCTTGTATATGTTCTATCACGTCTTGTTTCAACTTCTTAAGGCCTATGATATGGTATTATAAAATTTTTATAAAACAGTTTTAATTTTCTGTCACTTTTTGAGGCTTTGATTCCTTTATTTCTTTTGCTACTAAACACTGCGACTACACTTCAAGCCTTAATATAATATAACGTAGGCCGTGCAGATGTGCAGTTCTGATGCAACGTAACAGTAACATCTGTAATAAACATACAATGTTATTATTTTATAAAAGTTTCTTAATTTGTTTTAAGGTGAAACATGTCAATCACAAAAATATAGTATTTTTTGCACTGCATTATAACTTGGTAAATGGTTTTAGAAATGGTTGCTGGTGGTGGTATACAATCGACAAAAGTTAGCGCAGAAGAATGGCCTTTAATTCAACCGTCGCAAGTCAGCGTGGCAGTGCCGCCCGTTCACGTCGCCGAGTCCATGCTCACACCGCTAGGTATGCACAACACTCACTCTGCACTTGATTGCTTGTGTGATATTGATACTAACAATGTACAAAAAGAACACGACCATGCAGGTAGGTTCTATTTTTTCGGTTAATTTTCAACCGCACGCAATGGGATGATGTTCGTGAAGTTCTTGTCTAATATACAAAAAATCGTAGTAGTAAGTTGTTAACTACCAGTAGGTCCCAATATTTTAAGTTAGTTTTAGAAACACTATAAAAATTTCTTAGTTAATGCTTAATGTTGTTAAAATATATATTTATAATAAAGGTAAAGCGATGAAACGTACAAATTTATAAGCACTATATACTGAATTAAAGTCCAACTACTGTACAGGTACATATTGGTTTCTTTGATGGAGGTGAGCTGAGTATTGATCATATATATATATATATATATATATATATATATATATATATATATATATATATATATATATATATATATATATATATCAGAAATGAGAACTTCAAAGCTAAGTTTCCATGTTATTTGCTCCAAATTAATACACAAATGCTGATAAAAATAAACTAATAAAGGTCAGGATAACAGAATTACTCCTTCGGCATTCAGAAGCAAATATTAATGCATTCAGAATGCATTAAGGCATTCAGAAGTAAAAAATGAGCAACAATATTGGAAGAAAAATAATTGGATTGTCAAAAAATAAAGTAGGGTTGATATTGACAGACTTATACAATTGACAGAATTATACAATTAAGAATTTTTTTAAAGAGCCACAATCAAAAGAGGTTTCACGACTTTCTATCTATCACGTATCAGTCTAAACAAATACAAACAACAAATCCACTGTCTGAAAATAATTTCAAAGCACAAAACTGTTTAAGGAAAGAATATGATGAATTGATCTCCTTAATTATAACCAAAACTTGTATGCCCGTTTTACAAAGCTACGACTGTTTAAGGGATACATGACGCCTTCAAATTTTCAAAAAATAAAAAAAAAGATTAATTTTTAAGAGAGTTAAGACCCTATTTTTGCTAATTTGCGTTTAAGCTCATGGAGACGATGCCCTTCCGTTTTAAATGTACCTAAATGAAAAAGCTTTGGAACCTAGTCGATAGAGGCGCTGGTAAAACACGCGATTATTATGCATATGCATCGGAGATCGAAACCTGGGTCCATTTTTTTTTATTTTTAAAAAACTTACACTGAAGTAAAAACTTTCTTTGTAAAATGGTATAACATTTTTTTTAAATGATCCAAAATCATCGGACCAAATAGACACTGTAGTATTGATGAAACTGACAACTGGACGAATAGAAATGTCAACTTTGTATATCTTGGGTAACCCATACAATCTTGCAATCAACGGGTTACTAGATATTTTGCTATATGGTGCATCATGGTCAGAGAAAAAATCAGAAAATGGTTTTATATTATCATTAGAAATAAATCTCTTATAAAGATCAACTGTTAGGAAGTGAAATTGTTATATTCAAGAAAAGATTCAACTTTGTCATTATAAAAGTCACGTTCTAAAATGACCAAACAATTGTCATTGTCCTTCTTCTTTATGTGCCGTCTTCTACCGAAGGTTGGCGACCATCATACAATAGGTTTCTCTGTTTTGTGCCGCATGAATTATGTTCGCAGCTTCTGGTATTTGAAACCATTCTCTCAAGTTTCTCAGCCAGGATTTCTTCTTTCTGCCCAAACCTCTTCTACCTTCAATCTTGCCTTCCACGATAAGCTGTAGCAGACTGTACTTATCATTACGGAACACATGGCCCAGGTATGACGCTTTCCTCCTTTTAACAGTTGTTAACAATTCCACCTCTTTACCCATTCGTCTTAATACCTCTGTGTTGGTCACTCTGTCTGTCCAAGGTATTCTCAGTATGCGTCGATACAGCCACAAATCTAGAGCCGCTAACTTCTTTATAGTTGCTGCTGTTAACGTCCACCCTTCTACGCCGTAAAGTAGCCTAGAGAGTACGTAGCATTTCGTGGCGCGCCATCGGAGGTTAATGCTTAGGTTGCGGTTGCTTAAGAGCTTTCTCATTTTGATGAATTTGGATCTTGCTATTTCAATTCGGATCTTAATCTCTACTTCTGGGTCCCACTTGTCATTTACTGTATATCCCAGATATTTAAATCGGTGTACTCTTTCAATACGTTCGTCTTCAATATGCAGGTCGATATGTTAAAATTTTTTTTTACTGATCACCATAAATTTAGTTTTCTTTCTATTGATCTTCAGTCCAAATCTGCTGCCAGTTGTATTAACTCTATGTAGCATCATCTGTAAATCTTCGATGTTATCGGCCAGTATAATAGTATCATCTGCATATCGAAAATTACTTATTGGTACGCCATTAATCTTGATGCCCTCATTGTACTCTTCTAGTGCCTCTAGAAATATTTGTTCCGTGTACAGGTTGAAAAGTAGTGGCGAAAGAATACAGCCCTGTCTTACCACTCTAGAAATATTTATGTTTTCACTCTCCATATGTCCATTCTTCATGTAGGCTGTTTGATTCCAATATAGATTTTTTATAATCTGGATGTCCTTAGTGTCAAGTCCTGAAAGACGTAATAGTTCTATGAGTTTGTCATGGTTGATAGTATCGAATGCTTTCTCATAGTCGATAAAACAGACGTAAACATCTTTCTGTTGATCCAGGCATTTTTGAATCAAAACTTGTATTGCAAAGAGGGGTTCTCGAGTTCCAAAACCGCATCTAAAACCGAACTGTGTTTTACTTATGCTGTGTTCTAATTTTGCTCGTATTCTGGAATGGATAATACGCAAAAATACTTTAAGGGTGTGGCTCATTAAACTTAAAAGGCGATATTCACTTGTCCTTGTCCGCCGTACTAAAAATTAAGTTGTGGTTTTTTGTGATTGTGATTACGACACATTAATTTTACATTTTTGTATTAAACATAGTGCCTCCTAACCATATTTTAAAATATTCTAGAATTTTAGAATTTGATTCTAAATAACACTCTTAATGGGCATATATTGTCTGAATACTTTTTAAAAACTACCTATCTCTCGTCTTTAAGGTCTTGTCATTTCAAAACAATTTTTACTTCCTTCTGACAACAGTTGGTTGTTACCACTCAGGGCACAAGAACCATTTTTTGAGCTGGAAAATTCTCGGTACTGAGAATGGTACTTCTCTTAAAAAATTTAATCGCTTATTACCAACCTAGTGTCTTAAAAATTTGAATGTTCGTTACTGTAATTATGTAATTTAAGGGTCATCTGACATCATTATGTGGCTAGTTCCATCTACTTTATACACGTAAGTGTTAACCACTTTTTGAATTTAACAGTCAAATTGTTTTCATTTGTAAGAGGCTATACTTATTTGTAGGTTTGTCACTGATGATGATCCTGATAAGATCGAAAAAATTTATACCATTTTGCAAAGGAAGTTTTTAATTCATTGTAAGTTTTTTGACACTACAGTGTACAGCAAACCACTGGAAATTTCCCTTTTAAATTTTGGATTTTAAAAATTTGTTATGTAAATAAATTTTCGTATCGTATTTTTTGCATTACTCTTTAGACATAAGTATATAAGGAATATAGAACATTTTTTAGCTGTTGTTTTTATACTTAATACGATACATACTATTTAGGATTGTATTGACAATCTGTGACCGGTTTGCAAAATATCCCTTCTTTTTACTGAAAAACTTTTCAGTGATGTCCAACGATATTTTCATGTGTCTGTTCACCAACAACATATTACATCCGCCCAATATTCAATTTTTTGTTTATAGTTGAGAATTTGTTATGTGAATATTTTGTATACATTAAAATCGACAATAGCTTCTTACTGAATGAGCCGTTACTTGATTGTGTTTTCACTTTTTTTACTTCAATTACTAAGGCATATATTAATTAAATTTCAATGATATCATTAATAAACTCATTCAAAAACAAAAGAAAGTTTACTTCAGTAAGAATCTTGCATGTTAATACGCTTATGGGAATTAAAAAATATACGCTTCTGGGGATTATCATATTTATTAGGTTTATATATCGATTTAGAATATATTGTTATACTAATGTATCACTACTTTTCAGAACAAATTCGCCGCAAAGATGCTATGGTAAAACAAGCATTGGAGGACAAAGAAGGCCTAGTAGCGGACATGTTGAGCATACCTCGCGAACACTTCGAACATATCGCTGATATGGCATCAATGGACCCCTCCAATGGCCGAGATCCATCGGAGAGGGTCCTCGCATCAATTTTCCAAGTCAATCTGTTACAGAAGGCTGTGAACGATTCGCTGAACATAACGGAATTGGACGCCATGGCTGCAAAAGGCGGAAAACACCAGACTTGTGCCAGTCAACAGGAAGTCATTGTAGAAACAGTGACTGCTCCCACCGTGCCCACTAGTTTAGTTAGGGAAATAGCCAGCTCTCTTAATTCGCAGCTTACAACCCTTTTGGTAAGTCAGCCTGAATAAATCTTCGATAATCAACTTGCCAAATGGCCGACTCTAAATAATATTGTAGTAGTAGTGTAGTATTCTCTACTTCGTTATAATATTATGAAGTTTTAATATAACACAACATTTTAGTGAACAATCTCACATTCTGATTCTGAGTCTTATTTATCATAGTTTGCCTTCAGTATGCTTCCAATTTATAAACTAGATAAATTTAAAATGTTCCTTAATATTTTCTTTTTAGACCACATTTTTTTAGTTATATGCTATAAGTCCTAATAATGATTGTAGTTATATGTTATTAGTCCTAATAATGATTGTAGCATAAATATTACTTTAATTTTTTTTTAGAAATATGTACGATAAATTTCTCAAAAACAATCAGACTTTCATTCATATTTTGCAAAGCTTTATTCTCTATCATCCAGCATGTCGAATCATTCTAAATAATCCTCATTAACAAGACACTATTCTCTGCGCTTCAAGTTAGTGAATCAGTTTTGAAACGCAGTTTCTGTAAGGCGTACGTTTGAATTGGCTCTATATCTATCTTTTGGACACATTCGCAAGGTGCTATGTCCGGACTGTATGGAACTGGCGGAGTTGCTTTCGATAAAAAACTGTTGCACAAAACTCAATGAAGTTGCGTTTACTTCAATATCGTGATGACAAAATATGTTGTCGCTACCCCAAAACCATTTTCTTTTATGCGTCAAGCAATCTTTTATTAATTAAACATAAAATTCTTGGGTAATTTTTTAAACTGTTGAAGGGTATTTATGACCTTCATAATAAAAAAACAACCCCGGACGCTCGAGTGGAAGATTTCATTATGAAAGTTGTTGTTTTGTTTCGGAATCATAACTGTAAATCCCCAGTAATGATATTTTTAAACATATTTTCATCATTAGTCATCACTTGAAATTTTGGAATAAATCTAGCACCTCTGCGAGTCATTCCTAAATTCTCAGTTAGAATTCTCCAAACACAAGTTCTCACAGGGACTAGATCACTTTGGCGTCATTTTATGACACTTTCGGGATAGACCCCGCATATTTCATTTAGGCTTGACGCAACCTTATTCCAATAGAGATATAATCTATTTGTGGACAAACTATTACAGCAGAAATATATTTTTACGTAATTTTAAATGTTATTGGTAGAAATAAAACATAAACCATTTAACGAAATTGTTTCACAACACAATAACGTTAAAAATATAGTTAAATATTTTTAGAAAAATACAAACTTTCCTAATAAAAAAGGGCATTCTGCCAAATTACTTTAAAATATAAGTACTATTATTGTCTATGAGTGCCATTGACACCAAAGTGGCAAAATTTAAAGTATTGTTCTATAAGTAGATTTAAACAACTGTTTGTATATTACATTTTATTGATGTAATATATCTGCCAAAGTATTAAACTAAAAAAAAAATACCGAAGAGCCACTGAAATTATATTAACAGAAATATATTATAGTTGTGTATATGTACCACTTAGAGTCGGCGTAACCCAAATATGAAAGGTCTTTGTTTCTCACTCTATTTTTTACTAAAATTCATTCCTCTCTAAGTCAGTTTTGGTTCAGTGGCGTTACAAAGAATATTGAGAACAACAATTTATTCTTTTTTATTAATGGTAATAGTTTATTGAATGGCAATTAGCGGACACAGCAGTGTCAGATCTTCTTCTTGGTGTGGATAATACTAAATGCAGTATAAGAATTTACGAGTTCTTCTCAACTATTTCAATAACTTCCCATATCAAAATATTCCATATGATTTTTTTTTTATTTTTTGAAAGCACAAGACCTATGTAACCCCTTAAGTAAGCACTCCTCCAAGCCCGGAAATTCCGCAGTTTGTGGTCTTTTGAAGGACACATTTTGACCGTTTTGCATGTTTTTGTATAATATCTGATTTATTTTTATTATTGTTGACAGGGCTTATTGGTAGGCTAAATTTTTCAGCAACGTCTTTCTTTGTTTGACAGCTCTTCCCAGTTTCGAGCTTTTCTAACTTTTCAGCGAGATTCAAAGTTTTCAATATACGTTTGACAGTTTGACGTTTAACTTATGTTTTAACAATTTTATTTATAATTGTTGTACCAATTTATGTGTATTGCAGTGGAACCGCACTATATACGTCTGACAATTTTCAATCGATAACACATGACTTAATTCTCTAAAGTTCATATGAAATAAAATAAAAATAATAAAATTAAACACCTGACACCAAGCAAGCAAGCACTTATTAACGTGAGCCATAAATTCTTTAAGTGGTGTACTCCTGTTTATTGTATACTCATAAATTGTTTTTTTTAAGAAACAATGGTATCCTTACATTGTCGGCAAATTACGTTCTTAAAGTCGGTAACTTATTTTTCTTCTAACTATAGAGGTACCTATGTAATAACTTTCAAATAATCGATTTGTAAAGGTTGTAAAATAAAATATTGCTATGGAGATATAGAGGTCAAATTTAATTTTTCGACTGAAAACTTACACCAAAATGGCTTGCAGAGACTCACTGATTATTACGACTAGGCTGGCCCCTAGACCAACAATAATATTATTACATACATTTATGTATTAATAATACATTTATTGTCCAATAATATCAAATGGCTCTTTCTATCAAAACGTTCAATTATATTGCACAATAATACAAACTAAGCAATGTTTTTGATGCAATGGAGAAATTTAGAAAGAAAATATAGAAAATGAAAAACAACATGAAGAAGCAGCAACAGAAGCTCTAGGAAACTCAAAGTCATACTGAACAAAAGAAACAACAACAATACACCATGGTTCAGAAAATAAATAAAAGAGAAATGTACAGAGAAACGAGAGGCCTACACGAAGTACAAAACATCAAATACCCCAGAATCCCGAGACAACTATAGAATAATACCAAATTAAACAAAGCAGTTGGCAAGAAGAACAAAAAATGAACACTGGGAATAGTTTCCAAAAAGGATGGAAAGCGACTTCTACGGTGCACAGAAACAAATATGGATTTTCATAAAAAACGAACGGCAAGAAATAGCAGAACTGAAGGAATACAATAACATACTAGCAAACGAATGGAAAAATACCTGACGGAACTGTTTAAAGCAAAGGAAAATAATAATCAACACTATAACCATACATCAAACCCTTCTGTGGACTATTGAAAAGTCACATCAGAGAGGAACTCCGTACCTGGGAACTCAATCAACTAAGATCATATTGGTCTAACACACCATGACAAAGGCAAGCAAAAAGGCCCATAAAAGTGTCGCCTACTGCAACAAACCGCGTTCTCGAAATGAGTAAAAAAGATATCAAAATGGTCAGTGGCCTTCTCACTGCTCACTGCCTTCTGAGATATCATCTCAAGAAAATGGGCAAATCAGATAGTGAGAACTGTTGTTTCTGTCACAATGAAAAAGAAACGGCAGAACATATAGTATGCAACTGCGTAGCACTATTCTGCAAACGACTAAAATTTCTAGGAGAGGTCAGTCTGGCGTCCTCTGGCATAGGAAACAAGTCACCTAGGAAGCTAATCAACTTCATCAGAAGTATTGGCATTCTAGAGTTTAACTAGATTAAGGTATGCACAAAAGATCTCTATAGGTCGGAAGTGCGGTGAGGCCGCATGGCCTTAACGACCTCACATAATCTAATCTAATCTAATCTTCAGAATAACTATACCATACAATTTTTCTGTTAAAACAATTTACTACTGAATACAAAAAAAAATTTGAAAATATTTTTTAAAATGTTTATCTATTTTAGAGCGAAGTAAAACAAATCGAAGAGGAGAGAGATAGGCTAAGAAAGGAGTTGCACAGAGTTAGGGAACAGTTACACGAAGAACACAACCTTCATAGTCCTTTACCAGTTGACGATGACAATATCACAGATTGTGCCTCGGAGCAAAGTACTTTTAATGACAGTTTACAGGTAAGACATTTATTTTGAAAATGTAACTCTACTAAACAAGAAAAGCACTGGAGTCCCAAATTATGGTTAATTTCGATTGATTCGTTCAGACCGATAACTTCTCATGTCACTGGTGCGATGGTTGATGTTATTCTATCTTCCGTGTGATCTATTTTTCTAAAAATTAATTATCTCCTACTCATTGTCTCATTCATATTCCCGCTTTTCTTGTTCTCCTACTCCTCGTCCTCTTCATCTTTTTGTCCTTTTTCCGTTTTCACCCTTCATGTTTCGTATCTACCCCATTCTTCATTTGCTTTACATCCATGTCTTTACCACGTTTTGCCCCTATATCTTCAGACAATAAAAGAGACAAAGTCTAACTAAAATGAATTAACTCACGTGGATAGTGTTACTTGATATACATTTGGTTGTGATTAAATGTTTGCAATTTCGTATATAAGTTTATTTACTAAAGAAACAAGGTTTTTTAGTTGAGCACTATTTCGCATATATTCAATTCCTCAAAAAAGGATGAAAATGTATAAAAAAGATGAAAGGTAACCGTCAGATTTTTCCTCCTTTTTTCTGTGAGAAAAATGCCGTTATTCTTATATTTTAGTTCATATTCTTTACCCGAGGTAACCTTTTTTCTTGTTATAAATTTATAGCCATACTGTATTATCTTCTCAGTATCTTCTTAATGCCACATTTTTCTATCTAAAATAACGTAAATGCTTAATAAACACATTCTTTTTTGTTTTAGATTGTATCAAAGAGTGACTGCGAGGAGGAAGAACAGTGAAGAGACCAGTATCTTATACAATTCTGGCCTTACGGATTTTTATTGTACTAAAACGATTTTGTCCTTTGCATAGATAATCTGAAAGTGTACATTAATATAATATATACATAACTGTAACAACAAGAGAATTGATATAACGGTATTATACATACACTATTTTTTATAACGAACAAAGGAAACAATGTGATTTTACACACGAACGTTTTCCTTGGTATGTTCAAGCGACTTTAAATGGAAAACCTACGGAGGAACCTGCGGTCATATTTTAAAGTCAGTGCAATAATGCTTATGTAGTTGTTCATTATTATAAGTCGCTAGGAAATGCTAGATACGACAACTGTATTTATATGTACATAATGTAGCATAGGTTTATATAATTTTGTTATTGTATTGTATGCGACTTCCAGAAAGTAACTCTTGTATATGTAAGAGATGTTTATAACTATACATATCTGTTTAGTTGTATGTACGGCCTATGGCGTTATCTATTTAGTGTACTTGAAAGCACAACTTCCTGTTTTTTATACAAATGTTTGCAATAGTCATTGCTATTTGGACAATACAGCAGTATATTGAAATGAACGTAGGACATTCAACCACAAATATCAAACATAATAAACTAATATAAATCTTCACGTTAGTGTCTCTTATTTAGACTGGAAGCAAATGATCGTTACAAGTTTTAAAAATTGGTTTCCATCTTGACATTTATTAGAGTCAATGCCAAGTTGTATTTTTTAAGGGCAATAGAAATGTATCTCATTGATAATAATTCTATAATTTCAACCTCTCACTACATTCCGATTAAATCTAGACTATTTCCCAATTGTAACATCAACGCTAGTGATACTTTCCACAATAAGTTTAAATATTTTGAACTATTCCAGTTTTGCTATTTAATTTTATCCAGTTCTACCATAATTCAATTCTGAATGCTGGCAAGACGTAATTGTTTCTACGAATATTATATATCTATGGTCATATTGTGTTTCACAAGTATTTGTTGATTTGGAAGTCTTGCCACAAACAGGCTCTTGCTTTTTTAGTATTAAGCTTCAGTGCTCTCTTTCGGATAAACTATATGCTTTACATAATATACTTCTCCTTCAGCTCATATATTTGCTTCCCTGTCTCTTCGCAAACTGTTATTTTGTGGGTACTCCAGGTACAATATTTCATGGTATAATGCAAATAGTGTTTGCTATCGAAGATCCTCAAATGGGAGAAATATTAATTAATACTTATGATTTTCAGATGAAAAAGTGGTGTCAAAAACATTTTTGACAATCAACCTTCACGCCAAAAGTACATATTTACGGTTTTTAACAGATTATTTCAACACAAGCTCTTGCTCTTTTAGAATTAAGCTACAATGGCTCTCTTCCGAGTAAATTCTGTGCTTCATATCGTGTACTTTCTTCTTCACCCTATACATTTGCTTCCTTGTCTATTCGGAAACTGTTATTTTGTGGTATGTCATTTACAATATTTCATGGTATAGTGCAAATTCTCTTTGCTATGCTATGAAAGAACCTCAAATGGGAAAAATATTTATTAATATTGTGTTTCAGATGAAAAGATGGTGTCAAAAACAGATTATTCCAACACAAGCAAGTGATGAATCGCAACGTTTGATACCATTTAATTCTTAAGAGCTCTTATGTACATCTAATTGTCAAAACCAATATGGTTTGTCAAATATGTTGAATATGATAAACAATTCAATGTAAGTGTATTAGAACAATATTTTTTTGCGGATATTAGATATAAGCTTGTTACATGCTACATATTTTTCATGTAAACTATATATTGTTTTATTAAATGTTTGTAATATGTATCATGTTGGAACTTTATCTACCACGTAATCAAATAAATATATATCGTTAGTATATAGAGTGTTTTTTGGTATTTACTAATTCTCTCTTATATTAATTTAAACGTGTGGAAGATGTAGCCTCGGGTTTTCATTACGATACAGTTATTTTATTTAAAGAGTTCCTTTGTGGAAGTACAATTTAGTATACAGAGTATATCACAATGAACCTCGAAGGAATCAAAAGACTTTCAACTGTGCATTGAAAAGAAATATTTTTAAAGTAAATTTTATTTTTGTTTTATTTAAGTAGGAATAGCATCGTGTCATATTCTGTATATATAATAAATATATTATTTATAACAGTCTTCATTTTACCTGATAATAGTATTCTATTTATTTGTTATCAATTTTGTGTTTTTTATTCAATTGGAGTATTTTAAGGATTGTGGGTGTTATACGATTCTATTATCATTTTTTTTAACGAAACACTGAATAATAATACGAGTATAACTGTTTTTTTGGTTGTGGAAAAGTTTCCACTTTATAAAAATCGCAAATTAAAAAGGTTCTTTGGACTTCCTGTATTCTTAACAAGTCATGAAAACACTGCGTCAAATATTGTGGGTATTAGCTTCATGAGCGTGAGCAAATTGAAATGCTATTTCGTGTATCTAAAATACACAATTTTGTCAAAAGGTATTCATAAATTTTATACCAATCAATATCGTGCGTTTGTTGATTTATTTTACTTTATTTATATATGGTATCTATTTTTGAATTTATTACTCCCATTATTAGTCCAAACTTACCGGTCTTGAGATATAGATTCTTCCGTTGTCTCTGCTTAAGATTTCTACTGTTTACATTGTATACAATATAAAAGTTGCCTTTTCCGTTTATTAGCTCTTTATTTAGTATTATGTCTTGCGAATTTCGACTATTATAATAGACATCGAGTAGCTCATAGAGTGAGCAAATAATCTGATTTCTTCGTTGGATTGGACATCCAGTTTCACATGTGCAATGATATTTTTTTGATCTGTATGTAAAAAGGTTTGCTATATAGCCTTTTCATATCTACTTTTTCTTTTATTTGAATCTTTTTATTTTGTAGTGTGTATAATGCATAAGTAATAATATATAATTTTTTTTCTATAAATTAGGAAATAATTATGAGGAGAAAAAGTCCAAAGAACTGCTTTTACAACATAAGTGCCTTTCAAACGCATCCCCTTGTTCATAAACTGCTTTTGTATAACGCTTTACCATTGTGCATTTTTGTTAGTTAAAATTTGTTCGAAAATTACTTGGCATTTAATATAAATAGATGTACATTATTTTACTTACTTTTTTATTTTCTTTATTCAACAGCGAATTATAGATAATGAATGACACAGCATACAATTTGTTATTATGTATTTATACATTTCAAAAATAACAGTACTATTATAAATATATTTCTCAAAACCCACAAATGTTCTTTTTATTTACCCATAATTAGTTTACTGAAAATTTAAGACAAACAAAAATAAACTTAAGGAAACGCATATAGGTGACCTAAACGCAGTATAGGTGACAGGGCGTAAAAAGGGATACAATACAAGCGACTAACTTATATGCTTACAATATTAAGGATAAAAATACAAGAGATCGAAGAGGTTGTAATACATCGCCGCATATATTCAAAATATAGTCATATTATATACCAAAATGTCAAAAGTAATAGTGGGATTTACGAACGATATCAATTAAAATTAATACAGGAGTAATATGAGATGTAAAAGAAGCGTAATATTTAGAAAAATGTAATTGGTGGAAGTTCTCAGGGACATAAACTTGGATGAGCGAGGTATAAGATTAATATCACAACTTTACTATAATCAGCGAGCACAGCTGTAAATTTTCACGTCTATTTAACGCTTTTTCTGGGAAATTGGTACTGGAAGCTACTAAGTCAGAAACAGGATGAATAAAAGTGAACGAGTATTTAATTAACAATATTATGTATGCGAAAGAAACTTACAAATTAACACAATTAATGCAGCAACAGAAGCATTTGATAGGAAGTGAAAAACAGAAGAAAGTCGAACAATACAGAACAAACACAACAGGCATACAAACACTATAAGAGGAATTCTACAAAAATTCGCTCCTTAACTGGAGCCAAATATGGTGATATTGCAATTTGCTGCCCGTACCCCGCAGTAACAATTTTTTTCTGTAGGTTGATACCAAAGAACATGTTTTCAGGTGCGAGCCTCAAAAAAAGGCAAAGTTAAGTTTTTTCCAACAAAAAACCGATTTGTTCGCTAAAGCTATTTCATTCTTCTAGCGATCTACCTCGAAAAACGAGTGAAAGAGACTTCTATACTTGGAGCACACGTACATATCAAGTACCAATCGCTTCGTCTTGGTCTCCAGAAGGAACTCTAACCATTTGAAGATCCAAGAAACACCTGCTCAAAGCGTGGCAAGCGGTTATTTAGTCACTAAAATCGACGTTTTTTTCATTTTTTCGCGATTTTATCCGAAAATAGATTAAAAGAGACCTGTATAGTTGGAGCACACGTACGTGTTAGGTACCAATCACTTCGTCTTGATCCTCAGAATGAATTCTGACCCTTTCAAGAACCAAGAAACACCTGCTCAAATCGTGGCAAGCTGTTATTCAGTCCCTAAAATCGACGTTTTTTTCATTTTTTCGCGATTTTACCGGACAATCAAGTTAAAATGACTTTCATTCGACAACTGAGTTTTCCAAAGGCGATTGGATCGTAGTACTTTATGATCAATGGTACGCAGTGGTAGTTGACGAGGTAAACAACGAACATCTTATAACAAAATTTCTCTCGACTACAAAAAATGGCTTTTGTTTTTTGAATCGACCAGAGCATACACAAAACGTTTTCTCAACTAAAGTTTTTTGTAAAATAGAATCTCCAGAATTAACTAAATTTAGAAATAAAATAATGTACAATATCGGTGAAAATCAGAAAAATATGATTAAAAATAATGTAAAAAATAATATAATTATATGATATATTTGGTATAATTTGACTGAATAACCGTTTGCCACGCTTTGAGCTTTTTTTTTGGTTCTTCAAAGGGTCATAGTTCATTCTGGTGACCAAGACGAAGCGATTGTTACCTAATATGTATGTGTGCTCCAACTATAGAGATATCT